TAGAAAATTTGAATTCCCTAAAGAGCCTTAGATCCTCGCCCGTGTCGCCACGATTTTCCAAGAGAAGAAAAGTTACCAGTTCTCCCTAGCGATCTTCCCTCACGCGAATAAGACACTAGCCGCATCTCTCTTCGAGAAACGTGAATTCCTTGCGCTCCATCGGATGAAACGTCTTTGACATACTAGATTACGTAGCTAGTACGTATTTCGTATATCTTCTTCTTTCGAAAGAAGATACGTCGTTTGAATGTAACGTCGTCTACGCTTGATCTCCGAATTTAACGATCGAAGAAGACAGGACGAAGTTCCATTCGAATGGAACATAATACATCTTCCTGAAACTTTAAGCGATAATTCTCTGTGTTGGCTCTCTAAAACTGAACGATGTTTCGCTAGTTACGATGCCTGGCTAGAGAACTTGCACGACCGATAATCGGCTCAAAGCGAACCGTATCTTCTACGTGGAGGAATCGAAAGTTAAAAGGAGGATCGTGACTTGGAGTTATTTAACGCTTCGCTTTCTCAGAGAAAGAGAGAAAAAAACGCGAAGTTGTTCGATCGTGATTAGGGGATAAAGAGCTACCTTTGGTTACTTTCGTTCGTCTGTCGAGGAAAAGCACCGAACCTTGCGCGCAAATTGGAGACTTTCTCAACATGGAAAGCGAACAGCAAGCGAACAATTATCGGTTATTCAACTGCGGAAGAACGATAACGTTATAAGGATCGAGATTAGTTAAAACTGGTTGGTTCATATATACACTACGTCTATTCAAAAATACAGAGCGAAGCGTGAGAAAAATTACAGGGGGCGAATTTCAAAGTGAAACTCTCGAGAGTATTTTTCTTGATTGATTAACATTCATTCTCAACACGGTATCCATTACAAAAAAAAAGAAAAAAAATGAATCTTGACAACACACTCCCAAGAATTTTACTTCGAAATATTCACACTCTTTGGACACCGACACTTTGTTACCACCAAAAAACAAATAATTTAATCGAACGATAGTTAAAAAAAACGATCAACGTGTATTCCTGGACGAGTATTTCAAGAGTGGAAATTACAAAGAGGAAGGGTTGATTGGCTAAGGTACTTTATTCTGCCACAATCTACAGGGGAAACAAAGAGAAAGAGAGAGCAATACGAAAACGTTCATACGAGACGAGGTATGCACCATCAACTACGTCCACGTTTCAAAATCTATATATATATATATATAATTCCACAATTCACAAATATTGACAACAAGAAACACACACGATGCATGTGTAGAATATATTAGAGACAACACAGAAAGAGCGGGTGGATCGATGGATCTCGCGAGTAATCACCGACGGTTGGTGTCCTGGCAAAGGTGGTACCTGGTGGTGATTAGCCCGTTGCGTGGTTGAAATGCGACGCGTTAAGTTAAACCGAGGCAAACACCGAGTGATGATCGCACAAAGAAGCGAATTCGCGATTATATACACACGTGTGGATTCCACACGTAATGCGCTAGATCGATACGCTATTGAAATATTCACGGGGCGATGTGGACGGGGGTGGTGGTGCGGTTGGTGCAACGTCAAGGCCTTTGTCGGCGAGGATAGCGTTATCTCCGGTCGCACGATGATTCTTCCTCCTCCTCCTGCTCCGTGTTACGCACGTGGTCGAGGGATGGATCGATCTGAATCCAAAGCGGAAACGTGTCCTCGAGGATAGGTTCGCCACGCGACCGACAGCCCAGCACTGACCGTGCACGAGGCGTCGCGACGCTGACCAGAGGCCCGATGACGTCTGCCCGCACCACCGACCGCTCTTCTAACACTGGCCTGGTGCTTCTTTCGCGCCACTTTGCCGATAGGACGAGGGCAGGCACGTGTGTGTGTGCGTGCGTGTGGGTGGATTTTAGATCGGCCTTTAATGGCTGCGGTGAAGTGCGAACGATCGGTTTTACGATCGTGAAATTTATTGCAATCGTGTGCCAGCAGCGGTGATTAGTCATATTAGCCATGAAATGGAAAACAAAAGAGGCTAAGGTTTAAGTAAGTTTGTTACGAAATTGTTCGAAATCGTCAAACGATTGTCTCGGGTATTGTTGTTCAAATGAAATGATTTTTCAGATGGATGTTGAAATTATCATATAGTTTGGATTCCGATTTCGGCGAGAAGAAACGGGAAACGATGTCTCGTGATATCGAAATCGTGAGATGAAATGCTCGATACTTTCTCGATTATCAATTGGCATCGAATCGTAAGTGCGAGAATACATAGCACTGCTCGTGATTTATCGATATACGTTGTTTAATAGTTTATTTTGACGGTCTGCAGAACAGTGGTGGGAATTTTACGATACGCAGACGGGTAAATGCAAGAAGGCATAAAGATATTTTTCACGAGTTGTAAAATATTTGCGGATTTACGATCGTAGAGAGATATCGGTGTTCGAACCGCTTTCGACCAACTGGTTGGCACTGCTTCCCTTCGAAATGTCGCGGCGCATATATGTATGCGAATAATTGAGCTTCTTCGCAGGTTTCTTGATATAAAAATGTATAATTTTTTTTATCGAAAATTCTATTGCGAATGAATCTTAAGTAAAA